CAAACAATACATGAAAATTTATTTGTAAATTGAAACAACCAAAAAATTACCAATTAATATTATACCTAGACAAAGCGAAAAGTGAATCAAAAATGAAATTATTTAAAAAATATTTTGTTAAAAATGGTCGTCTCCGGACTGTAGACAAGCACGACATCTTCTAATTATGGAGGTAGTGGCCGATCGACACTGAATTGGAGTTAATTCTCGACACGCTTGGACTATTCGCTGTCTTAGATCTTCTAGGGTATCAACTGGCACCTCGTAGACTTTTTGTTTAACAGCACCCCAAACGAAATAATCCATCGGTGTCAAGTCCGGTGAACGTGCAGGCCAAGAAAATATTTGTTGAGGTTCATTTTAAAGTTTATCGACAGAATCCAGAAACACCCTTCCAAAAAAGTCAATGTACACTTTTTGTCAATAACACACTATTCTATCTAAAAACAGCATCATTTTTTATTTTCAGTAGGGCCGTATTATTTTTTTTTTATAATTTAATGAGTCTTAGTCCCCACAACTCCGCCACTGGTTGCTTGCGGGACTTCTACTTCTATGGAAAAATGGTATCATATAAGAAGATGTGTCATGCCAAATTTGGCTAAAATAGCCTTCTTCATTTAGAAGTTATTTAAAAAATTCTAATTTTTTAAAAAATCTTTAACGCCCTTTAATTTATATTTAATTTTTTTCTTATTTTTTTTTTATGAGGATTATCTCCTTAAGGTTTGTCGACTTAATCCTGAAACACCCTGTGTATACGGTTTGTCTCATTCACAAAATCACAAGTTTGGGTTATAATTGAAAAATGTGAGGTTATAAAACAATTTCACTGAATTCTATGCACTAAAACTGAATAAAAAATTGATATTTAAGAAAACGGCCAAAAATAAAAAAAACATAATCTTAAAATAATAAAAATAATGACAAGGGGGTTTTCGGATCAATTTTTCTCGAAAATCAAGCTCGAGACATTTTGGGAAAAAGCCTTCCGAAGTGCCGAAATTGACCCTATTCTGTACAATTCTTTTTCTCTTCCTAATTAAAACAGTAGTAAAAAAATTCAGGCAATTATTTTTTACCCCTCCTTGGTAGGCAATAAAAAAAAGGCACCGCTTAATATTGACCTTACTTTTACAACGTAATTTTTTTCGCTCAGCTATTTCTGAAATCCCTGGAATTCTTGCAAGCCCGTGACATTTTAAGGCCAACTTTAACTCCGGTTATCTTTCGATTAATACCGGGAAACCGCAGACCAGATTTCTTATCGAGACGTGACACATTGCAGGAATCCGAAGCTGACTGCCGTATAAAAATCGATAATCCAATAAGGATAGCTTCTAAGATGCCGATTTGTTCCTGTTGAACATATAAATAGCCCCTCAACGGTTCATTTGGTCAACCTGATTGATTACGTTCGCTCAGAAGGAGGCCGGATAAAATTTCAAGTCCGGCAAACAGTGATTGCACAGCGGCAAATAATTTTATCTGCTCCCACTATTAAATAGACTATTAATACATTGTCAGGTAAGTGGATTTTACCGTAGAAGTGGAAGCTGTTATGGACAACGGGAGGTAAGTGAGGTAACTTACCTCCGTAGGGAAAAAAGCGATTTCGAGTTATAAATTTATATTTATATTTTATGAACAAATATGTATGATATGAAATGAACATTGAAGTATAATAACCCTGGGTTCGATCGAAAAAATTAAATATAAACCTAGTTGTGGCCAAAAATATGTGATCGTCATAAGGAATACCTACGTTGTATGTATCTATTTTTATTATGGTAGTATTATGGTGGTATGATTTAATTTTATTAAACAAAAGCAGAGTAAATACACCTAAATTTATTATTTACGTACAACAGTCTTCAAATTAAATATGGGACAAATAGAAAGAACAAGAAAAACATTAACAACCCTTTAACATAAAATGAGAGTGCCAGGCTCACCTAGAGCTCCTGTGGGGAAAGAGCATGGCAGAGAAACCCACGATCGTTGCTCTAACTACCCAAATATAAATATAAAACAACCGCTAACAAAAGGCATAAATTAAGATCCTTTGCTAATGATAATTAACGCCCGACTCATTTAATGTGTCACTAAATGTCACCTCACTCGAATTAGACATACACACTTCCAAGTAAAACTGAAGAGGTTTGGTGTTAGTTAGCCGGCAGGGCCGGAAGGTACTGGAGTCCCATACGGGAGGCAATCCAGCTATGAGTTGAGATTTCGGAAGATCTGTTTTAGCAATTCATTTTTTGTATTTAATTATTCTTTTTTTTTCAGATTCGTGCCTCAAGGGCGAAAATGTTAGTAAATTCAACAAAGCTCTTATAGGCGTATGACATAAAGTGAGCACAAGAAACGCTTAATTAGGTATTTGTTTTTCGAACAACGTAATCAGGACAAAACAAGTTAAATGTGAAACAAAGGAGTTGTTATTGCAATGTCTGGGCAGTCACGACAATATATACATATTTTAACATGTAATAAATAATGAGCAATGGCTAATAATAATTGTAACAATTTTACCTTAGAATTATAATCTTGAAACACCTATAACCATCACAATAATAAGATTACATAGATCAATTAACAAAAAAGTACTTAAAGAATATTACCTGCTAATTAATACGGGTTAAACACTTTTATTTTTCACTATTTTGCCTTACTGTCCGCCGATCAGCTTACTCCCATTCCCACACTGTTCTCACTTCAACTATTTAGGCTTCCTTCCAGAATTCCCCATCTAAGCATTTGCTTTTTGCGCTTCCTTCTACCAACTGTCAATATTACATTATTTCATTATTGTGCAACACCCACGTACCAAGTGACGTCGAAGTTGATGCAATAAGTATGGTTTTGCACAATATTTATAGTACTTGTACAGTTATTACATTTAGTAACATTTATAAAATCTGGATAATTATTTCCCTCGCGTTTACTAATTGTCACATTTTTCTCAAAATGAGTTGACCGCTCCATTTCAGTCACCGGAGGCTCAATATTATCTGACTGATCCATTAAAACAGCATAATGCGACGTACTACTAGAACCTGGAGTTGAAGTGTCATTGTAAAGAATCCTTTTGGCTATTTCATTTTTGTTACTTAAACTGTCAGTAACATAACAATTGTGGCTGATTTCCACCCATCATCTCTCTTGATTGCTAATACATCAACTCCTGTATTAGCCAGTAACGTTGCCGATGTTCTTCGGAGCAAATGGCCTGTATATGTTTCAGGGTGTTCTAGTTTCAACAAATATGCAATCTTATTAGGAATCATAGAAAGGGTCTTCGTGCCGAATGGTTGGTGGTATTTTGATATATCCACGTTCTCCCCTATGAAAATAGTTGACTTAATCATTGAGTATTCACTCGCCGGTGACTTTAGAGTTTTTGACTTCTCCATGAAATATGCTAGCAGTGACATTTTAGCAGTTGCTGCACTTTCTATTTCAAAATCACTCATTTAGAAATAATAATTCAAAACCAGCAAAATTGCTACTTTTATTTAGCTTTGTTTATAAACACCTTAGAAACGATAAAATCCAAACAACCAAGGCGACTTTGCAAGATTTCGAATAATGTCAAAATCAATTGATCAAAAAATAAACCCTAATCCTAATTTCACGAACCATAAAGAACTGTGGGAACAGACAAAATGTTATACACCACGCAGTAGTTAAGTATAATTTACCAGTCTCGGACTCTATTGCTAGCCCTCGCTCCGCTCGGGCACAAAATCGTCCTCGACTGATAAATAATACTTACCTACCTTCTTTATGGTGTAAATAACTAATTATCATTGAAACCTGTCAATTCTGACAGATAAAACTTACCTCTAAGTACATTGTAGCGCAACCGAAGAGAGTAATACTGAGAAATATAGGACTCGCCACCTTAAACACTTTCAACTTCCGGTGCTTGAACATATAGACGTTGAGAACGATCGTACACAGGACACAAAAAATCGAAAAAACCAATAAAGTGATCCTAAAACATAAAAAATGTTATCTGTTATATAGTCGCCGTCTCGTTGTCCAGATATGATGCCACTGGAATTTTATCTACAGGTCATTTGAAAAAAGTAATTATTATGTTTCTTACCTACCTAAATGGCCAGTGATATGTAGCTAAACACGGAGAAGGGTCTTTACAGAAATGGCAGCCAGGAGCGCATCTTTTGCACTGAAAAATCGTTTCCCAAGAGCGGCTGCTGTTCTCCACATATTCCGTCCAAGCGACTGAAAAGATATTCAGTAGGAAACACATTGCCAGGGTGATTTAAATATAAAGACAAAAACTCTTAAAAAAATTCCAAACATATCCAAGTAATAAACCAGTCCTGAATCTTTTAACATATTTAAAATTCTCAAAGTCAAGCAATTTAAAATATCGCGAAAAAAAATTCTGATCCACTCGATTCGTGACCGAGAACCTGTTCTTTTCGCGACGGAAAGGGTTGGAACAAAAACAAAATAACTTACCCCACGGTGGGAGCAATTAGATTAGGCTGTTGTTCCAAATAAAATCGATAATCAATTTCCAGGTCGTGGCATAATATGCAGGGCAAGGACTCGGTCGTTGTTTGTCGCTTGTTGTTCAAAAAAGTTTAATTAAAGTAAGTTCGCCCTCAATTAGTTTTTCATTTGGTGGTTTCGGAACGGTTTTTAGGTGAAATTAGGGTCATAATACAATATAAACCCCCGCATTGGAATATATAGGTGTACACAAATGAGTTCCCTTAGTGGAATATTAATTACATGCAAACATGAAGTAAATAATCAAGTTTGATCTCGAAATTTGGTGCTTACATTCGAGACTTAGTGTTTGAACTCGAAATTGTACTCTTTAAGAGCTTGAATTATTGAAATTTAGTGTTTGAAGTCGAAATTTTGCTTTTCAAGATAAAACGAAATACTGAGTTTTTAAAACGACGCCCTTGGTACTAAAATTTACTCTGTATAGTGTAAAATTGACATGTGGTGTTTGAAAACATTTTACATGAAATTTTTAAATAAAATTAGTGTCATGAAGTTCAAATTTAGCGAATATGAAGTTTTGAAATATTATATTTGAAGAAAAATTTGTTGTGTGGTCTGGAAATTTAGCATTTAATCTAGAAATTTATTACCCGAAATTTTCAGCTTTTGCTTTTGTGTGAAATGAAAAGTGTTTTTTGTGTTTGGCAACAAAATTTAATGTTTGACCTCCAAACTGAGTGTTTGAAACTGAAATTTTATGCCTGAAGTACTAATTTGTGTCAAAATTTAGCAAGTATTAAGTTTAGAATGTTTGTATTTGACGACGAAGGGATCAGAAAAATTATTATTTAATTTAGAAATTTAGTGTTTGAAGTTGAAAGTTAATTTAGTGTTTAAACTGTTACAAACAAAAGCTTGTGTTTGAAATCGAAATCTACAGTTTGAGCTCATGAAACTTAGTGCTTGAACTATAAACTGAGCCATTTCATTAAAAACTTATGTAAACTCGAAATTTTATGCTCGTAATACAAATTAAAGAAAAAAATATTTATGAACTAAAGATATTGCATTTGAAGAGAATTTAAATCTTTGAAAATTCTGTATTAGAAATCGAAGCTTAGATTTGAAGTTAAAAATGTATGAATCAGAAACTTTTGCGCCTGTATGCAATTAACAACTTAGTGTTTGATCTTCAAATTTTGTGTTTGAAATCGAAATTTAGAGTGTTTAGAGTGTCAAGACTGTCAAGTCAACATTTCGTGCCTGAATAAAAAAATAAAATATATTGAATTTAAATTTTTGAAAATTTTCTATTGAAGCTGCAATTTACCAATTTCCATTTTTACTTTTACGTCGATGTGATACAGAAAGTTAACGTTTGGAATTGAAATATAGTGTTTGAATGCGAATTTTACGTTTGAAGTCGAAATTTAGTGTTTGTGGTCAAGAAATTTAGTGTGATGAAACTGAAGTTTTTCATTAAAAATGAAATGAAAAAATTGATGACTGGAGTACAAATTTGTGTTATGAAGTTAAAATTATTGTTTTGAAACTTTGTATTTGAACACTAAATATGTTGTGTGATCTGTAAATTTGATGTTTAATGTGGAAATTTTGATTTTGAGCTTTCGCGTTTGTGTGAAATGGAAATTTAAATCGAGATGTAATGTTTGAACCCATGAAATTTAGTGCTTGAACTCTAAATTGAGCCATTACATTCAAAAGTCAGTATTCAAACTTGATATTTTATGTCCGAAATACAAATTTAAGGCTAGAATTTTTGAGATTCTAAATATTATGCTTTAAATAGAAATTTATTGTTTCATCTTTTAAATTTAGTGTATGAAATCGAAATATAGTATTCGAATCCGAAATTTTACGTTTGTAGTCGAAGTTTAGTGTTTGACATAATGAAATTTAGTGTTTGAACTCGAAACTAAACTTTTTTATTAAAAATTTAGTGTTTGAACATAAAAATTAACGATTGGAGTACAAATTTGTGTTATAAAGTTAAAATTAAAGTTTGAAATTTTGTATTTGCGGACCAAATATGTTGTGTGATCTGTAAATTCCATATTTAATGTAGAAACTTAGATTTTGAGATTTCGCGTTTGTATGAAAATTTAAATCGAGATGTAATGTTTGAACCCATGAAATTTAGTGCTTGAACTTTAAACTGGGCCACTACATTCAAAAGTCAGTATTTAAATTTGATATTTTATGTTCGAGATACAAATTTAAGGCTAGAATTTTTGTGATTGTGTGCAATTAACAACTTAGTGTTCAAAGTACAAATTTTGAGCTAGAAATCGAAATTTACTGTTTCATCTTATAAAATTTAGTGTATGAAATCGAAATAGTGTTTGAATTCGAAATTTTCTGTTCGAAGTCAAAACGTAGTGTTTAAGGTCATGAAATTTAGTGTTTGAACCTGAAAATAGATGATTGGAGTACAAGTTTGTGTTATGAAGGTAAAATTAATGTTCAAAACTTTATATTTGAGGACTAAATATATTGTGTGACTTAGAAATTTGGTGTTTAACAAAGAACTTTAGATTTTGAGCTTTCGTGTTTGTGTGAAATAGAAATTTAAATCGAGATGTAATGTTTGAACCCATGAAATTTAGTGCTTGAACTCTAAATTGAGCCATTACATTCAAAAGTCAGTATTCAAACTTGATATTTTATGTCCGAAATACAAATTTAAGGCTAGAATTTTTGAGATTCTAAATATTATGCTTTAAATAGAAATTTATTGTTTCATCTTTTAAATTTAGTGTATGAAATCGAAATATAGTATTCGAATCCGAAATTTTACGTTTGTAGTCGAAGTTTAGTGTTTGACATAATGAAATTTAGTGTTTGAACTCGAAACTAAACTTTTTTATTAAAAATTTAGTGTTTGAACATAAAAATTAACGATTGGAGTACAAATTTGTGTTATAAAGTTAAAATTAAAGTTTGAAATTTTATATTTGCGGACCAAATATGTGTGATCTGTAAATTCCATATTTAATGTAGAAACTTAGATTTTGAGATTTCGCGTTTGTGTGAAAATTTAAATCGAGATGTAATGTTTGAACCCATGAAATTTAGTGCTTGAACTTTAAAATAGATGATTGGAGTACAAGTTTGTGTTATGAAGGTAAAATTAATGTTCAAAACTTTATATTTGAGGACTAAATATATTGTGTGACTTAGAAATTTGGTGTTTAACAAAGAACTTTAGATTTTGAGCTTTCGTGTTTGTGTGAAATGGAAATTTAAATCGAGATGTAATGTTTGAACCCATGAAATTTAGTGCATTGAACTCTAAATTGAGCCATTACATTCAAAAGTCAGTATTCAAACTTGATATTTTATGTCCGAAATACAAATTTAAGGCTAGAATTTTTGAGATTCTAAATATTATGCTTTAAATAGAAATTTATTGTTTCATCTTTTAAATTTAGTGTATGAAATCGAAATATAGTATTCGAATCCGAAATTTTACGTTTGTAGTCGAAGTTTAGTGTTTGACATAATGAAATTTAGTGTTTGAACTCGAAACTAAACTTTTTTATTAAAAATTTAGTGTTTGAACATAAAAATTAACGATTGGAGTACAAATTTGTGTTATAAAGTTAAAATTAAAGTTTGAAATTTTATATTTGCGGACCAAATATGTGTGATCTGTAAATTCCATATTTAATGTAGAAACTTAGATTTTGAGATTTCGCGTTTGTATGAAAATTTAAATCGAGATGTAATGTTTGAACCCATGAAATTTAGTGCTTGAACTTTAAACTGGGCCACTACATTCAAAAGTCAGTATTTAAATTTGATATTTTATGTTCGAGATACAAATTTAAGGCTAGAATTTTTGTGATTGTGTGCAATTAACAACTTAGTGTTCAAAGTACAAATTTTGAGCTAGAAATCGAAATTTACTGTTTCATCTTTTAAAATTTAGTGTATGAAATCGAAATACAGTGTTTGAATTCGAAATTTTCTGTTCGAAGTCAAAACGTAGTGTTTAAGGTCATGAAATTTAGTGTTTGAACCTGAAAATAGATGATTGGAGTACAAGTTTGTGTTATGAAGGTAAAATTAATGTTCAAAACTTTATATTTGAGGACTAAATATATTGTGTGACTTAGAAATTTGGTGTTTAACAAAGAACTTTAGATTTTGAGCTTTCGTGTTTGTGTGAAATAGAAATTTAAATCGAGATGTAATGTTTGAACCCATGAAATTTAGTGATTGATCTCTAAACTGAGCCATTACATTCAAAAGTCAGTATTTAAACTTGATATTTTATGCTCGAGATACAAATTTAAGATTAGAATTTTTGTGTTTGTGTGAAATTAACAACTTAGTGTTCAAAGTACTTTTGTACTTGAAATCGAAATTTACTGTTTCATCTTTTAATATTTAGTGTATGAAATCGAAATTAAGAGGTATTATATTTGAATTTTTGAAAATCTTTTATTAAAACTCTAAATTTAGTACTTATAGTTGCAATTTACGACTTAAATTTTTACGTCGATGTAAAATGAAAATTTTGTGTTTGAAATTTTATGTTTGAAGTCGAAATTTAGTGTTTCAGCCAAGATCAAAATTTCTAATCAGTAAAAAGTTAGAGTGTAAAGTTTTTCTTATTCAAACTATCCAACATAATAAAGCATTGTCACAAACAAATAGAATGTATGAAAATACTTAACTCTACCTTCCAACAATTGAAAAATAACTCGGAGTTTAACTTTGTTCCTGGGTAAATAACCCCGACCTGAATGGAGAACCCCCTGAATATTTAACTAAAAGCAAACAGAAACAAAGCTAATATCATTAATAGTCCACCGTTAGACAAAAGCAGGGGACAAATAGCTCTAAAACGAATTAACGATTTGATCTAAAAGGCTTCACAGATGATCCGCAATGTAATACTGTCGGTAATTTCGATTATTCGATTGTTCTATTCTATATTTTTGCTTTTATGAGACATGCATTGGCTTATCCATATCTTTTATCGGTATTTTCGATTACTGATTGGGATGGGGCTAAAATTAAGGTACATGAGTATCATTTAAGTCTTTAATTGCTAAAAACTACCAGTGTTTTTTATTTTTCAGCTAAATGTAATAATTTGGAGTCACTAATAGTGACAAGTAAAACATTAATCTGTCTTCTTACCTTCTACCAAGCTCCCGTTGAATAAACCGTCGTGATGAGGCGAGTAGAATCCTGGTCGACACGCGCACTGATATCTGCCCCGTGTCCAAGACATGGTGTTTAGTATGGGACGATAAACGCACTGAAAATGATTGCCTTTGGAGTTACACACTACAAAAATGTTCGACAAATAGTCTACCAGCCGTATTGGCAAAGATAAGTAAGGGACATGGCATGTCTATTTTACCATTCAGTAGTTTATAAATTAATAAAAGAGAAGTTCATCCATGTAAGTATCTTATTTGTTTTTAATGTCTTTACATTTTGTCTGGATATTTTCCTTTAGAAAGCGTCCTCTACTTCAAAATTGAGGGACATTAGGACCTATGTTCATGTGAATTTTTTGCACTGCTATTCAGAATCGCGTTTTTGCTACTCTAATAAAAACAAAGGTCTTTGTAACATCACTAGGCATACTTAACGTAAAAATGGAAGGAACTATGGCCTTTCTTCTGGGTGCATCATCTTCCTGGTTTATACAGGGTGGGCCATTAGTGTGAGGAAGTACACTAACTCCCTTGTTACTTATAATACAAAAAAAAAGTTTATATAAAAGTTGTACAGAATCAAGAAACATAAACTACAAAATTAATTTTAAACATACAGGGCGATGAGTAAAAACGGGACACGCCAAACATTACATTTTTTAAATGGAACACCCTGTATATTTTTAAACAGTTGGATTTCTGAGAAAATTCTATATATGGCAATATAAACAGTTTATCATTTTAGTGCGGGGTTGCCAAGTTATGTAGAAAATTCTTAGAATTTTGGAAAAAACATGACCTCGAAGAAGTTGTATTAACTTTCAACTACTAACACTTGGAGCAAAAATATTTGACAGAGTTATAGGCAAATGTTATACAAAGGCTCCTATATTAGCTAATATCGATATTTTATACAGGGCATTTTTTTATAAGACGATAATTTTTAGAAAGTTCAAACTTGATTTTCTAAAATTTTTCAAATGGAACACCCTATATTTTATTGTTTTATTTTATTCGCATATCACTCCACTTCAACTTTTATTAAGCATGTTCTATACCTAAAATTGTTAGTTTTTAAGATATGGCAACATTTCTGAAAATACTTAATTTTTATTATTTTCGGTCGCACGAGATGGCTTTGGAAAAAACTGTCACATTGTGTCAACTTGTCTATACTATAAAATAATTTAATTATACTACATATTTGTGTATAAAAAAATCTTAATAGAACATAACAACATAGTTTATTTATTAAATGGAAATAAAATAACAAAATAGATACGAAAATAAATCAAATATTTAATTTTACAACAAGTGTTCAAAATGACGGCCGTCTTGGTTTAGACATAGCTCTACACGTCGTTCAAATGTGGTGTTAACATTATTCAGAATATCAATGTTGATATTTTGAAAAACTCGTCGAATTCGGTTTTTCATATCCTCTTTAGTAGTAGGGGGAGTTTGATATACCCGATCTTTTACATATCCCCACAGAAAATAGTCCATTTTTGTCAGATCAGGCGACCTAGCAGGCCAACTAATTGGTCCACCTCTTCCAACCCACTTCTCTGGAAATTCATTGTTTAAGAATCTACGAACTTCCTGCGTGTGGTGTACAGGGGCTCCATCATGTAAATACCACATCCTCTGACGAATATTTAGCGGTATATTTTCTAATAAATTTTCCATAGTATTTTGTAGAAAATGAAGATATAGTTGCCCTGTTAAATGTTCGTCGAAAAAATAAGGCCCAATAACGTAATGTCCAATAATCCCGCCCCAAACATTGAGTGACCACCGGATTTGACTATGTGTCCTTATAAGCAACGGATTTTCAGAAGCATAATAATGAAAATTGTGTCTGTTCACGCTTCCATTTTTGTGAAACGTTGCCTCATCAGTAAAAAGCACACAATTAAAAAAAAGCCTATCTTCATTCATTTTTCTCTGGGCCCAATTACAAAATTCCAAGCGACTTTCATAGTCGTGGTTATTCAATTCTTGGTAAAACTGGATATGATATGGATGCATCCTGTGCTTCTTTAAAATCCGCCTTACCGATGTCCTGCTTATATCTGTTTGCCTTGAAATTGCTCTAGTGCCTATATGCGGATCTTCAGTAACACTTAACAGAACATTTAGTTCATTCTCATCATCCACAATAGTATTTTTTCTATCATGTTTTTCATAAGAAACATTGCCAGTAGTATCAAAACGTACCATTAATTTTTCAAAGGTATTTGCACGTGGTTGTCTTCTATCTGGATATCTCTGATTATAAATTCTTGTTGCGAGTAAACAATTTCTATCAGCAGCTCCCAATACATAAATCATATCCACCATTTCTTCTTTAGAAAAATTCATTGTAATATAAAATTATTTTATGAATACCAACTAATAAATAACTAATAGATACTAATAAACTAATAAAATGAACGCAAAATGGAATGGTAAATTATGAACTGACAAGTTGACACAATGTGACAGTTTTTTCCAAAGCCATCTCGTGCGACCGAAAATAATAAAAATTAAGTATTTTCAGAAATGTTGCCATATCTTAAAAACTAACAATTTTAGGTATAGAACATGCTTAATAAAAGTTGAAGTGGAGTGATATGCGAATAAAATAAAACAATAAAATATAGGGTGTTCCATTTGAAAAATTTTAGAAAATCAAGTTTGAACTTTCTAAAAATTATCGTCTTATAAAAAAATGCCCTGTATAAAATATCGATATTAGCTAATATAGGAGCCTTTGTATAACATTTGCCTATAACTCTGTCAAATATTTTTGCTCCAAGTGTTAGTAGTTGAAAGTTAATACAACTTCTTCGAGGTCATGTTTTTTCCAAAATTCTAAGAATTTTCTACATAACTTGGCAACCCCGCACTAAAATGATAAACTGTTTATATTGCCATATATAGAATTTTCTCAGAAATCCAAATGTTTAAAAATATACAGGGTGTTCCATTTAAAAAATGTAATGTTTGGCGTGTCCCGTTTTTACTCATCGCTCCGTATGTTTGAAATTAATTTTGTAGTTTAGGTTTCTTGATTCTGTACAACTTTTATATAAACTTTTTTTCTGTATTATAAGTAACAAGGGAGTTAGTGTACTTTCTCACACTAATGGCCCACCCTGTATGTTACAAAAAGGGTACCAAACAGGCATTGCATTCTCTAGTCTAGACTGTCTAAAACGTACATACGCAAATTACAAAGTTTTATTAGCAATTATATCAGTAAATTTCACACAGTTTCTTTTTATAAATTCATAAAATGTTAATGTTTCATTTGTTTTAAGGACTAAATGATCAATAAAGGAAAATTTTGTTTCAAACAATAAAACTAAATCCTTGCAAGACTCACATCAGGATAATACAGTAGTATCAAATTAATGGAAAACTTAAGGTCTTGCATTTCGAAGGGTTAAAATGTAATCTATTTTCTACATATCAAGACTGTATTTGGTAAAGTTCATTTTGTAGGTTATTACAATCATGAAAACTAGCTATGGATGAAAATATTTCTACGTAAAATAAATTACTACAGCTGATTCACAGTTGATAAGGTCATTAATGAGCAAAACGAACAGTAATGAGCCAAATGTAGAACCCTGAGGTACTCCAGAGATTACTGCGGAAGTGGTACAATAAAAAACATTGTAACTAACACACTACATTCTGTTGTATAAACAGGACTTAATAAAACCAATAGTCATTACATACACAAAAGTTTGCCAGTTTATAAAGTAAAACATTGTGATCTATCCCATCGAAAGCTTTGGAAAAGTCTTTATAAATTACGTCTGCCTGTTCTCTAAAACATGGTCAATATATTCAGAGAGATTTAAATTGGCAACAAAAATAATAAGATACATGTTTTTTAAAAACAACATTTGCATCCTTTTAAAAATTTAAAAAACGACGTCGAAGTAAAATATTTTTATCACTCTCTGTTGATATTAAGCGAAAACTACACTTCGCTGGAAAATGCTGCCACCATAAGCCTTAAAACGTTCAGAAACGTAAGCTCTCTGAAGACTATCAATCATCGTATCTATTACATCTAAGCACACTCACCTCGCTTGTTGAATTGTGGCATTTGTGCGAACCATGGAACACGGAGATCTCGTTGGAGAAGCGCTTGCTGCTCTTGGCCTCGCACTGGTTGACTTCCAAGTGGGAGACGTCGACGTCCAGACTGAGGAAGCCCTTAAGCCTGCAACAAAACGTTGGTGGTCAGTGGCGGCTCGTGGATCTAGAAATAGGGAAGTTAATTTTGAACTGTTCAATACAATTATGTAAACAAATTTTCCGAAAAATCTTTTGAATGCTTATTACAAATCTACTCAACCGTTTTTGAAATAGATGGGTTGAAAAACGAACTTAATATTTTGTACAGAGACGAAAAATTTCGTAATTTAAAAGTTCAAAAAACGGTAGAAATATTATACAAGGAATTTAAAACGATATTTTCGAAACATACAAATAGTTTTGTCTACTTTTAACAATTCCTGTAACGAATGTCTCGGTAGAAAGAAACATTTTCTATCTATTCTATCACTGTCTTACTAAAAGTGCGATTTCTTGTCTGTAAGACGCCTGCCTTAAATCTTCAGTTTTATATGTTTGTTGAAGGTCATGCCCTGTAAAAAATAACTTGTGCCATACTATTCACCAGAGTGGTGAAGTTACTGAATTTGACTACTTAAAATAAAATCCTTGATGTTTTGTTTATTCATTGTTACCATTTAAATTTACTCAAATAAAATAATAACTAAAAAAAAGCGTTTGTAAAACATGCGTTTGCTGTTATCCTAACCCGCATTTTAAGAATTATTTTCACGTACTTATAAATAAAAGTAAACAATTTTATATGTAGGACTAAGCAAGTAAATGTTATAAGAATATTTACATGTGGAATTATATATAAAAAAGTTAGTATTTTCGTAGATTTCAGTACCTAAAACCTTGATGGTTTGATCGTTTTTTGCACCTGTTTATTCGTTTTACTGCGGCGTCTTTGAAAATACTCAGGTGGCATGACATAACATTCCTGTTATTTGATAAGCTTTAGATTATTCAGTTATTAAATATTTGAAATTATTTGTCTTTGCGGAAAACACTATTTAAAGAATATGGGACCCTTAAATATTTAATATAAACATTGCAACTGATACTGCGCATAAAGAAGAGACATTTTGAAAATTCGATTTTTTTTTTCAAAATTTAAAAAAATTATTATTTTGCGAAACCGATTTTAATGAAATTTGGTGTGTTGTTTTATTATACTCTAAAGTTTTTTTTACCAAAATTAGAATGCCCTCGGAGCAATTAAAATATTTTAAAAAAATCATCCAAAAATTGATAATTTTGCCTTATTTTCATCAATTGCCTTAGAAAGACACGAACCCCCTGATAACTTTTGAAGATCGAATCCTATCGAAGAAAGTTCCAGATAGAAGTTGTAAGATATCAATAAATTCATATTTTGGTAACCTTGGACTTGACCTTGATCTTAAGTTTCAAGGTCGAACCAAGATCAACTTGAAAATATTAATACATCACCCTATTTTATGCCAGCAACCTAAATTTCAAGGAGAATGGGGTTTCTGATTTCTTGGTCCTCGTCAGCATTCAAATTTCACTACAAGAAAGATTACACTACACTGCAAGAAAGACAACCTCAACACCATTTAATTTTAATACGAAATTCTTCAGAACACCTTGTGCCTATGACCTAGATACCTGCAACATATTTTTAAGAAATAAAATTTTTCTCTGCCTGTCTTACTCTGAAAGTAGGTAAATACATATCTCTTTGATGTACCACCGCACCGTTTCAGTCCTTAGAAAACCATTTATCATATTTGTAGAATCAACATATGCTGAGCTCAACACAAGGCGGTGCTTGAAGTGTAAAGTCCTATGAGTTTCTACGGTGGAGGAACGATGACACATTTTTTTGAGAGGACAGGTTCGGAGTGAAAATATTTATTACAATTCTCAGCTCTCAGCTACTAATAAAAACATGTTTTAAAAGAGTCACTCTCATGAAAAGCTTCTTTTAGTTTAAGTACCTAATTATGTATAAAATAAAAATCGCCAATTTTAATAAATAAAAAATGTTTTGTTAGAAATTATACTACTTTGGTCCTCCATTTTGTGCCATAAACTGTCACAGTTGTAGTCACGTACGAAAAGTGTTTTTGTATAATTCCACAAAAATACATATTACAGTAATTTTTAATAATATTGATCTATTGAATTTTACAATTCTTTATCTGAAAGCAAATATTGTGAAAATATTTGCTAAAACATATTTTCCCACAATATTATGTTTTTATTCAAACTTACAGATATTTAAAAAAATGTATCGAAATACATCTGAATTTGGTATGCGCCGAATAAATTTTTTGTTACTCATGTCATATATGCAGAAGTGTTGTTGGTATCTATCCTGGTTGTGGATAATTGTCCAACAAAAATTACAATAAACGGATTTGCTTCAAAAACCGAAATATAATAAGTATATCAATACGGTGTTAATATTTATGATTTATTGGCATTTGTTAACTGCAAAATGTTAGTCATTTTAAAAACATTGATATTGTAATCATCTTTAATAGTGATTTCCAAATTCGTTTGTTGATTGCATTCGTGTTTTATTTCACCATATAATATTTTCTTCCTATATTTATATGTTTTGCCTTTTGCAAATTTGATTAACATAATTTAACATAATTAATTTAATTAATTATTGCTTAAGTAAAATTTATATAATTTATCCAAAAAAAATTGAATGTGTGGGAACTTACAAATACAATTAAAAAAAATTAAAAAGGTTAATTCGAAAATGATTAAAAAATACACTTTTGCAACACTAGAAACTGGTTCACTGCCTTACGTAAGTAGGTAAAAGCTATTTTCTTTTTTAATTTTCAGAAAAAATTGTAAATAATGTCCAACGGTATAGCCATTGATGTTTCTTATAGGGTTAAGGTTTTATGATGTAATAGAAAATCAACAAGGTTTCGAATCTAAGGCAAGAAATCGGCGCAAAATACGAAAAAGCTTAAAACACATTTGTATAGGGCAGCGCATGTCTCAGTGCATGAAGCCTGCAGCGAAAAATACCCAGACGAATCTTCTAAAGTTGTGTACAGAGCTTCAAACACCCAGTTTGATTCCACGAAAGATTCGAGAAACACTAGCGATGCCCAAAACCAGATGTCGACAGCCAACAGGAACTGGCGGAGTTATCTTAATGTGTGATCGAACGTCGACTCTGATATTTCTGGATAAGTAACCAGGGCAATGTCCCTGACCAGTGATCAATAAGCTTTCATGTATATTGTATTATATACTCTCAATCACTTATATATTTCAAATAAACTTTGTAAGACTCAAAATATTGCTAAACATTTCTAAACCGAGGCTCAGGTTTACATCATCAGTCTAGTATACAGATCGGTCAGGAATAACAAGGGACTTGTGGTCATTAGTCAAAGACAAAGTGCTCAAGGAGACCAAAGATCAAAGTGCTCCAAAATCCAAGAAGGTACAGCCAAAAATACCTTAGACTTTTCATTTCACAGATCGAATTGTAAACGTTTACGTCGAATCTGATCCCGCAATTATCTTATTTACCCAACTCGAACTGCCGCCCGATGTCAAGGTTAAGTGCAAAACTGTTTACATAAAAATTAAGTAAAATGATAAGAACAAATTAGGTCCAGATTATTACTGATATGGTTCGCGAACGCGCACCATCATTCCTGGGCTACCACCGGACATCTTTTTACTAGGGGAAAAATTAACGAAAAAAAAAAAAGAAATGAAAATTGTGCAGTTCCTCATCAACGACGACCGCGTGAGGGTGGGGGTGTTGGACGGTGAAAATGTGATTGATTTGAACGCCAGTGACGACACGATTCCGCCTTCCTTGGTGGAGTTCCTCGCCGAAGGAGATGCCTTGGATCGAATTCAGAAGTGAGTAACATTTTACTATGACAACTGCACGCGACAGTAACTTCATATGAGGCAATAATCCTATGTACAGAGTGGAGTACATTTTACAAAACCTTTTGTTACTTTTTATACACAATTTTACTTGATTACGATTTTTGAAAAATGGGTCTAGGAGGAGGCCATTTTTAACAACTGTTGTGATTTTTGTTGTTTATTTGCTCAGTTTTGAAACATTTTTTTATCATATTGCCACTTTCGTTCATGTTTTCCATTATAAAACGCCATTTATCTTGAAAATCGTTCGCGTTAAAGCTTTTGATAATGAGTACCTTTTTTATGTAGAAAACATTGGTAGTTTAAAATATGCTTCCAAAATGCCAATTTTCCAAGAGTGGTAAAAATTAGGGGCAACAGAACCTCAAGCAATCCTAAAATCTGCGCGACTGTCATATGTATAACATTGAATTAACGCTTAAAAGTAACTAATGTTAATGATAATATGTGTACAAAGTTTGAATTGTGTACCTCAACCTGTTCTTGAGATATCGTCAAAAAACTGAAAAAAAAAAATTTTTTTTTTGACACCCTATATCTCGAAAAAGGTGCGTTTGCGGACCCAGACTTTTTTACTTCTAGTATCGTGTACTTACCGCTGTTTTAATTTCCGCTATTAATTATGATATACCCTGTATATACGAAAATTTCGATTTTGAAATACAAAATTCAATATTATAATGGATATTATCTAAAAAAGGTAGTTGGTCTGTTCCATTAATAATTTTAGATTTATATTATTGCTTTCAAAATTATCATACACTGGCAACGGTCTTACTTTTTTCAATGTCAATGTCAAGGACTACTTAACAGTCAGGTACATGCTTTTCATTAATAATTCTATTTGAATAGATTATTTTTTATTGTAGATAATTCTTAATAACAATGAGTTGCTTCTTTATATGTACTATTTGTTTAGAATACTTAGATATTTGGTATCAAAAATATTATATAACTTCATATGATATGAATTTAGAAATTATTTCGAGAATTCATTTGAATTACATAATAACTTTAAACAAAAAAAAGTTAGAACCGTTTAGATAATATTTGGTTGGTGCTTAAAAAATAAATTGCCCATTAATTTAGATAAATGTGGAATAATTTACTAAAGGCATTATAAAAATCCCTGCATTTTATACAGGGTGTGGTGTGTATAATCTATAAAAATTGAACTACAGCTTCCTGATGATATTTGTAATAGAAAAGTTTTATACGAAAAAGTTCTATCTTCGCGTTTTTTTTTGCAAATTAAAGTTCATTTTTTCAACGAAAATGAAGGCCGATCCTGTGTTATTTATTAAAAACTTTGGAAATGCTTTTATGCAACCCGAGATGCAACCTTATAATTTAAATCGGTATAATCTAATACTATTAATACTAAAAGAAGGTTAGGTTACATTGTCAAAAAATTTGAGCAGTCAACTGATTTTGTATTTGTACTGAATTCATTATTCACTTAATTATTAAATATTAAGCATCGTCCATCGACCCGTCAGTGTTAAAATGTGAAAGATTCCAGACAAAAGTTTTTATTTTGTAATTCCACGATAGTGACAGTGTAATTTTTATAAAGAAGTAAAAAATAAGAATAGCGTGTCGATTACATTAAAAACGAGATTTTTATTTCTTCCTTTACTTCATTTTTTAGTTTGTGCACAAACTAGTTTTACAATGAACCGAGAAAACAATGCATTTACTATTTCCCAACGTGTCGATATGGTGTTAGTGTATGGTGCAGCCGGAGAAAATGAGCTCGCGGCGACGGTTGTATCGGGAAGGATGGCCACAACTTAACCCCCCTATGTGCAAATACAATCCTACAGTGCGTTCAGCGGCTGCGAGATACGGGAAGTGTTATTCTCGAGGAGAAGGACGTGGTCAGCAAGTGAATGTTGAAGATCTTGACGAAGAGCCCACAATTAGTACTCGACGACTCGAACAGTAAGTAGGAACCTCATCTCGTACCATACATCGCATCTTAAGGCGCCAGCTGTTGCACCCCTATCATTTGCAACCAGTTCAACAGATTTCATCCCCGGTGTGATCAACGAATGCGTTTTTGCAGATGTTTTTTTACGGCAATGTGCCAATAAAGTAGACTTTTCTGCTTATATTTGTGTAACAGATGAGGCGATATTTACCAGTGATGAAGTGAATTTCCATAATATGCACATATGGGCCGACGAAAATCCTCACGCGATTAGGGAAACTCATTTTCAACATCGGCTCTCGGTAAATATTTGGGCTGGCATAATAGGCGATGTACTTGTGGGTCCCTATTTCTTTAAACGACGACTAAATGGACCAACATATGCTGACTTTTTGGAGAACCGGATGCCTGAATTATTGGACGATGTGGTATTACAAGTTCGGGCACGCATGTTTTATCTTCAAGATGGGGTTTCTCCACACAGTACTCGACAAGTAACGACACTTTTGAATGAAATGTTTCCTCAGCGATGAATTGGACGTTTTGGTCCTGTGCCGTGGCCACCTCGGTCACCCAATCTAACTCCAATGGACTTTTATCTTTGGAGTCACTTGAAGTCATTGGTTTACAATACTCCAATTGCTATGGTGGAAGAATTGCGAAACCGTAATTTGCATTGAAAAATTCCCCAAAAACTGAGAAGTATCTTTCTATCTTTCAACGACGATTTGATTACGCGGCTGGTCTACAGCACGTAACTCATCATAACAGCACACGGACAGGACCGTTCCAGAGAAAATATTTTGATCCATAAATTAATAAACTTTAATTTACGAAAAAAAAAAGCACAAAAATATAACTTTTTCGTATAAGACTTCTATTACAAATATCGTTAGGAAGCTGTAGTTTAAATTTTATAGATTATACACGCCACACCCTGTATTAGACGCTGGATTAGACATTCCAGTTTTTATTATTATAATTATATCAGAGACGTGTAGAATTTCTAACTTTGAAATTACATCGATTTTCTGCACCTTACTTTAAAACAGAGGTTAGCATCACAGTTTTCCAATTTATCTTTTTCCAGAGTGGTTTCCAATCCCGGAAAATTGCACAGACTGGCCGAAGTTCAACTGCTGCCCCCAATCACGCGGCCCGATAAGGTGCTGGGGGTGGCCCTGAACTATAAAGAGGCCTGCGATAGGGGCAACATCCCTTACCCAGCGGAACCCATCGTGTTCAGCAAATTCGCATCCACCATAATCGGACCCTACGATGTCGTCAAGAAGCCGCTGGCCAGCGAGGTGGGTATCTTTCAGACCTTTAAAGGGGAGGGCAGTTCGAATTTTCGCTATCCAGGGTGCGCTGATTAAATTCTCGTCTTTAATTTGTTTTATAGTTGATTGGCCGCCTGCAGATGGTGCTTCTATTACCAAATCGTTAATGTTAAGACGAGAAATCAAAGGGTGTTTATTAGTTCACGAATAACAGCATGGCATGGGGGTGTGTTTTTAATAGTTTAATAAGTATTTTACATTAAATGTAAATATTGTCAGCGTGTTTAGATTTATTTCGTGAAAATTTGGGAAAGGGAAAGAAGCAGATGCTGTTCCACTACAACCATAACGATCAAAAAATTGTTTCTGAAAACATACTAACACAAAATAAAATAAAAACAAACAAAATAAAATAGAAAACAAAATAAGATAAAAACAAACAAAACACAATAAAATAAAACAAAACAAAATAAATAAAAATAAAATGAAATAAATCAAACCGAAACCCTGAGGCGACTTCAAATAAAACAGTTTAACTATAAAAAAAAAAAAAAATAATAATCCGAAACAATCCGCACACGATAATTGAAGTCGAGCCACTATAGTGGCGGGGGCATAAGAATGATAGGTACACGAAACACAATGCACATACGCGACTAACTTGAAAGCGACAGGTTTAGTCTTGTTCTCTAAAAACGTTGTAGTTTCACAAACAATTTTCATCTGTTTATGTCAAAATCAAAGTCTTCCTTACATTTTTAACTACTACCTAATATATTTTTGAGTAAAAACAGATGATAATGGTTTACAAATTAATTAAAACATTTAATCAAAAGACAAACATGGAAAGTCATTAGTACCTAAGGTGGTCATAAGAAGTTTTAATTTTTTTTTATAGTGTTGCACCCATTTTATATTTATGCACTTTTTGGTAGTAATACTAGACATAGTAAGCTACATTATAGATTTTTTCTGTGATTGTACCTCTGCGTGAACTAAGAATAAAATGTTGCAAAAAAAATATTTTTATTTATTTTTTAATAGTCCCTAAATAAGAGAAAAATTCTATAAAAATATTTTAAAAAAACGCTGAGACAGGTCGATTTTGTTCTTGGAAGGGGCATCTTTTAACATGATTCAGTTGCACACAGGGTGACCCAGAAAAGCTGAAAGGCCAATAAATTTGTTTTTTCTTATGGCACACCCTATATATACAGGGTGTTCCAGATAGACCTTCAATTAGACGTTTCTGGAAAACTACGCGTACTGGAATTCTGAAAATTTATGTACGGGGGTTTCTCCTAATGTTCTATCGATTGAAAATATTGGCGTCGTCGTGGAACTTCCGGTTCTACCGGAAGTAGACGTCAACTCGCTTATTTCAAATGGAATGTACTATTTTTTATTTAATTTTTGGATTCTACATCNATGATAATTGAAGTATGAAATGATAGGTAAACAAAACACAAAGCACATACGCGACTAGCTGGAAAGCCGACAGGTTTAGTCTTGTTCTCTAAAAACGTTGTAGTTTCACAAACAATTTTCATCTGTTAATGTCAAAATCAAAGTCTTCCTTACATTTTTAACTACTACCTAATATATTTTTGAGTAAAAACAGATGATAATGGTTTATAAATTAATTAAAAAATTTAATCAAAAGACAAATGGAAAGTCATTACTACCTAAGATGGTCATAAGAAATTTTAATTTTATTTTATAGTGTTGCACCCATTTTATATTTATGCACTTTTTGGTAGTAATACTAGACATAGTAAGCTACATTATAGATTTTTTCTGTGATTGTACCTCTGCGTGAACTAAGAATAAAATGTTGCAAAAAAATATTTTTATTTATTATTTAATAGTCCCTAAATAAGAGAAACATTCTATAAAAATATTTTAAAAAAACGCTGAGACAGGTCAATTTTGTTCTTGGGAGGGGCATCTTTTAAGATGATTCAGTTGTATACAGGGTGACCCAGAAAAGTTGAACGGCCAATAAATTTGTTTTTTCTTATGGAACACCCTATATATTTTTTGTTCATATTCGAATAAAGCTTTTTCTTACGAATACATTGTTATAAGGTTTGATGGGTTTATCTCAAATAACAAGCGGGATTTTGAGAGAAAATGACATGACTTAAAAAAATTATTTAACGTCATTTTTCATAAAAGAAATTGTACTTGGAAACGAAACAAATGCAAATAATTAACGAAATTTAACGTAAATCTTCAAATTGTCTTCCACCAACAATTTGCCACTGGCCGGCGCGAGTGTAAACACTTTGTACACTACGCTCGATAATTTCAGGGCTGATTCTTTCCATTTCAGCATGAATTGTCAGTAGTTGTAAGTTTGCTAAATTGTTTGGTCGATTCAAGTATACCCTAGATTTTAAATAATCCCATAGAAGAAGATCCATAGGAGTCGAGTCGGGGGAATGAGGGGGCCACTTAAGAGATCCTCTTCGCCCTATCCATCTTTCAGGAAATATATCATCAAGATATTGCCGAACTTCTCAGCCAAAGTGAGGTGGATCTCCATCTTGTTGAAACCAATTGTCATAGGGTATATCGCCGTCTGCAGCGTTGGGGAAAAGAACTGCTACAGCCGGTACCAACTCAAAACGCAGAAAATCTAAATATCAGAATTCTCCAAAAAAGTAAAGACCTAAAAATCTCCTTCCTATGATTCCCACACATATATTTAATTTGCCTTTGCGCTGACTGTGGGATTCTTGCGCCTAATGGGGATTGTCAAATGACCAATATCTACAATTATGGGAATGTACTGAGCGATTTAAACAGAATGTGGTCTCGTTAGAAAAAAATATATTACTTAGAAAATTTGAATTTTCATCACACTGTAACAATAATTGTTCACAAAAGTGTAACCGACGGTCTGGGTCATCCTCATTTAATTCGTGTATCAGCCGGACTTTATATCTATGATACTTTTCTGGACGAAGCAACTTTACAACATATGATTGGTCTACATTGTTGTTTAGGGCTAGTTGTCTTGTTGACTGATTTCTTCAGCGATTTAAGGTCGTCCTTGTCGTATCCTATCTCTTACTCTTACACACTCAGTCTCTGTAATCTTGGTGACCAATTTACTCACCGTAGATCGTGCAATTGGTGGTCTGACACCACGTGTTTGATTAAATAGCTCACATGCTTCCGCGTGGGTTCGTAGCTTATCACCATACCCAACCATCATTAAGATCTCTATACTTTCACGTTGAGTTAAATGTGCCATTCCTTCTAAGCTCCAAAAAATTCAGTCATAAATTTGCGAAATTTATTAAGGTTATATTAACGTACTAATTTGTGAAAATGTTACGCAACAGTGGTCTTTTTGTTTCTAAGCAACGACCAAAAACCGAAATTTAATAATTTTTATAAGTGACCTGAGTGCCAACAAAAAGAACCCTAATTTTTATTGCTAAACTCGCAAACTTTGTTCGTTTTTATTTTTCGTTAATTATTATTTACATTTGTTTCGTTTCTAAGTACAATTTCTTTTATGAAAAATGACATTAAATAATTTTTTTAAATAAATGTCATTTCCCCGCAATATCTCGCTTGTTATTTGAGATAGACCCATCAAACCTTACATCACTGTATTCGTAAGAGAAAGCTTTATCCGAATATGAATAAATATACAGGGTGTTCCATTAACAATAATCATATTTTAACTTTTAAGAATTGTATATTAAGCTACATCCCATTCTCAACGAAATACTTGTGTTACTTCTTTTCAGGCCGTCGATTGGGAGGTCGAACTGGTAGTCGTCATAGGCAAAAAGGCTCAGAACGTGAGGGCGGAGAACGCCTTGGACTACGTCTTCGGATACACCGCCACCCAAGATCTAACAGCAAAAGACTGGATAACAAGGAATGGGGGGCAGATGCTGCTCTGCAAGAACATGGACAACTTCTGCCCTTTGGGACCGTGCGTCATCACGAAGGACGAGATTCCTGACCCCCACAACATCCGCGTGAAGACCTGGGTGAATGGGGTGCTGAAGCAGGACGGCAACACTGTGGAGATGGTGCACAGGATTCATAGGATTATAGAATATCTGTCTAGGTAAGTATTTTTTTGTGTTGACAAATTTCTTAATAAAAAGGCCTTGAACCCTCTGTACTTTGAAAGTAAAAGATGACGAATCGGTGGTAGGATTGTCATCTTTTATAATAAATATTAAAAAATTAAATTGAATATAAAAATATCAATATCATCAAAAAACAAAAGTTGGCCTTTAAATAACATTGGACATGGGCTAACTTCCTCAAACGGACACTGAATTCAAATTCAGTAACCTCAAAAACATTCCATCGCTTATTTCCAATTTTTCCAATATTTTGCTTTGAAAATAAAAGAAAAACAGTTTTTTCCCGATTTTTCCGAATAGTTAATCTCTATTAGTGAAAGAAATATCTTATTCCCTTTTTTGAAAATATTTCCTCATCCACGAATTTTTTATTAATATTGGTTGAATTTTTTAATTACTCACAGTGTTGCCCAGGTCAGTTGGAACATTTTCAGCAGAGACGTGTCGAAAATTCAGTAGAAATCAGTAGACAATGAACTATTCCTTACGTTTTGTGTCTTACATATTCACAGAGGCAAAATCACACCAGTGGCGTATCTTACTGTAATCGAACAACTTTATTGTAATGAAAATTTATTTATTTCAAAAATTAACAAATAAAAAGTTATTTTCTCAAAACAAATACTTATAAAATATATTGAATATGAGAACTATTAACAAAAAATATACAGTTTTATACAGAAAGAAAAAATATATAATATGTATAATATAAAAAAAAAAAATACTGCCCCTTTTTTATTCAGAATCTGAAAGTTCATTATTTTGTTGTTTATACATATTGTTATTAAGCAAATCTAAAACATTTTTGGTAAAATCGACATTGAAACAACTTTCCTTTCGTATTTTAAGAACATTTTTGGTATGCAAACGGCCTATAATACTGGCAGTAGAGAGTTTGTTGCGGCGATCCGTTTTGGGTTTTAGTAGATTAACTTCTGAGAAAATTCCACATCGGCGGATGAATGTGATAAAACAAGCCTATTTTATTCCAACACTCTTCAGCAGACATATCAGCACTCATGTCACTATTTGTGTTTCTAAGAAGTCTCCACTCATTGTCCGGCTTCTGTAAGTCATTTTCTGAATATTAGATTTGGAAATTGAGCAGCTAATGGAACTATATCAAATATACTGTCACTTTTTCTTTTAAGGACAGTGAAATCAGTAGATCTACTGAAAAATCAGTAGACCTGGCAACACTGATTACTCATTCAATTCAATTCAATTCAGTTTGCTGAAAAATTACTGTGAACCTGAGAGCGTCATCTGGTCTACAGTGTCTTAATACGTACTGCATCATCTACTATTCGCTATATGAAACACAACGCGCCATCTATCGTTAAGTATACATTTCAAATTTTTCCAACTCTTTTCTTTGTAAACCCTTCAAACATTCAGAAAAACAACCGCGAAACGTTTTAATGAAGCGAAATGATGTACTCTCTCGGCAAATCTGAAAATTACCAGTTTGCGGCATTAGCCCTCAATCGTTTCGGGTCGTGTGCGTGGTAGATTAGCCCCTCGATCGCCCTTTCCCAGAATTATTAATTAGTGTACCCAAATACATTACTCCCGACTTCACTTAAGAGGGTTTAAATCGATAACAGATGAATTAAATTTAATTCTGTCCTAACTGAAGATAACCATCTCATATAAGGGCTGAAATTAAAATCATACAGGGTGCTATTTAAGTTGAACCTTTTCCTTTAATCCGAAATAAGAACATTTTTAAAATGACTCAAAACTATACTCTTTAGGGCAGTTTCGAGGTATTAAGGCTACACTTTAGTATAATATAAGATGCATCGACTTGCTGTGTAATATGTCTGTCTGATCTTTTTCAACGTGCCTAGTCCGATTTTTCTGTAGAAGCCCTGTTTTTTAAGTCATTTCAGCAACATAAACAAACCTACGAGCTGTGAAAGCAAAAAATACTCCGGCACACAATGATGCTACGGCAGCATTTTGATGACACTCCCCGTATATTAATGTCTTAATTTATTCGTCACTACAGTACATATGGACCATTTCAAATACAAAAATTTAGTCAATTATTATATTTCAAATTGTTTTTCCGTCGAGGTTTTGAAAAATGTTTGCAAAACGTTAACTTAAAACACAGTCTGTATTTTAGAGAATTCGCAATTTATAATAAAATTTATTGTTAATTATTTTTGCAACAATTTTATAAGGCTTAACCGGCTATGATCTTCACAAGAGCACCTACAAACGAACACCCTGTATATCATGTAATTTTATTTGTGCATACTTGTTTAGTACTTTTTATTATATTAAAAAACTCTATGAGATACAAGCAAAGTATATCCTCTTATCATATCAATTTTCAATTTATCAGATATGAAATTATGGAAAATTTAAAAATTCCTACATTATCTTCTTGATGATGTAAGTACAATTTTATCAGTAAAAATCGATAAGATTTCATGACGCCCCTGATCTATTCTCAACGGGGATTCTATTACTAAAATATAAAACGTAATACCATCGTGTTTACAGAATAAGTATATTTAGATTTTGTGAATTTAGTTTTCAATAATTAAACTAGTTTGTTTTTGTAGATAACTAATCTTAAATTTCCTCATCATAGGTCAAACATAGAAGGAGATTCATTCCTTACAAAATATTTAGTTCTGTTCGAAAAATATTCCAACTATTATTAAAAATACAATCAAATGAGGTCAAGGATAATAACGCAGTTAATTTACCACCAGGGACGTAACCAGGGAAGGGGCAAGGGAAATAAAAATAATAAAATTTTTTCATTTTGTGTATTTTTATGACAATTTTTTTTTAGGGCGATGACGTTACTCCCAGGCGACATTATATGTACCGGCACGCCATCTGGTGTCGGAGCGACTCAATATCCCCCTCAGTATTTACAGAAAGGCGACCTGTTGGAGAGCGAAGTTGAAAAAATCGGCAGGATGGCAAATCGTATAGTTTGAGATAGACAACATAGCAAATAGTAAATTAATCAAGTCATTATTAGATAATATCATCAATTCTAGGAAATTGGAACAAGATTGTAGGGAAATAAGTGTTGTATTTTGTTATAGTTATCACAAGATGAGTTTAGAAGTTTTAAAAATATTTTTAACCTCACATTCGCCGCCTGTGTAAATATAACCTCACTAAAATACAGTTAATGACTGATTTTGCTAAAAAGTCATTCTGATTTTAAAATTTCTGAACTCGTTAGCTGTTTCCTATTATCTGTATAATAAATTGGATATGTTAGACTAATTGTAGGCTTCAGTAAATTTACTTTCTTCCATTTTCAAGACTAGTGTATTGTTATTGGTGAAATCCAAATGTTAAACCATTTATTTTTGTATCTATACCAAAGGCATTAAATATTGTTTTGTTGAACCTTATTTGATTCGATGTTTTACGTTCAGCCTCTTCATCCTAGATTTGATGCAGAAGAAGATTCAATAAGTCATTTCTCATTTTAAATTTTAACTATTTAGCTGCTTTTTTAAGTTAGAAGACGTCTGTTCCGGATAAATTTTAAAATGCGATCTGCAGACTCTTCTATGTATCAATAACATTAATTTACAAAAAAGTAGCTCTAGTAACTATTAGATGGTGCTAGTGGTTCTACGTATTTTAATATGACCCCATACACATATACAATAATTTACACAAATTTATGCATTGTTGAAGACAGTTTCAACTCGTTTAAACTTTGGAAAAGCATTCCAAGAATCTATGTTTATAAAAGAATTATTGTTCGACTCACCCACGACGCCCTGGTGGGGGTATTGGAACACTGTAGGATATCAGCCACCGTCTTGCCAGACATGAGTAGTATGGATAAGTCCACCACCCCTTGTAAGCCACGTTTGGGGGACTCTCCACGAACTTGGGGGACCTCAAGCCTGGGCTGGAGTCAGCGTCTTCGTACCTGAAAGAAACGGACACCTTTGATAACTACAAGACGTACGTACATGAAATTGCCTTACTACTCAAGAAGTCTGGTATACGGATGGCATTCACAGTAACAGTGACTCCTAATGAATTTTTGCATTTAATTAATTCAAACGTAATTTTTTCTTTAACGTCAACACCATGTATTACGAAAGTCCGTGAATTTAGAGCCTTGATTTACTAAGACTTTCTAATCTATCCAAGTGATTAACTGAGTTTTAAAGGTCATATGTTCAAATGCAACATTTGTGGTTGCTGAAATTTACAGTGATCGTGTTTTACTATACACAGATTTGTGTTTGTGTATCTTCATTGTCTCAAATTCCCAGGCGATATTATGAAAAAAATGTATACGTATCTAAAAAGAGTTGAAG